TCGCATATATCTGCTTTCCCCGGCATGTCTGGGATCCATACCCGTACCACTGGCACTTAAAGCATCACCGAGGGTTCGGGATGTACGGCCTCACGTGAAGTTTGATGTAGCCTGCATCTAGTGTGGTAGGGAGCACACAGCTGTCAAAGGTTAGTATTGAGTGTTCAGTGCGGATCTGCTCATTCTTTCGGCGAATCAGGATTCTTTCAACCTTTATAACATTTTGATTGTGGAAGCCATCTAGAAGTTCCTCATCACTGAGGTGCAAGAAGTCATCTTCCGATATTACACCATGGCTCATGTACATTGTTCTATGTGCACACATGGTTACTGGTACGTCACCAATACATTTCAAGCCATTCAATTTCTCAAATTAGTCATTGTCTTTAAGTTCGAGTAGCAAATCACCGCTAGGCCTTTTTGTGGCCTTGTAGCCTGGTCAAATGGTGTTTCCAAGACATTTCACCACCAGGAAAGAAGACAGTTTACGAGCAGTTAAGTTGCGCTCACTATGGATTACATGATATTTGGGGATATTCTCAGTGCTTCGCAAAAAGAATTAGAAGGGTGCTTTGGTGCGCCCTCTTGCCTGAGGGCGATCGAAGAAAAAGGAAGCTTGTTGAGCCATAAAGTACTGCTTCTGTTCGGCGACAGTGCCAGCCGCCCACCAAGAAGCCTAACAAGGGGATGTGGCATGACTTGAACGAAGTCTGTACAACGCCAGCTGTACGCTATCACTATAGCTGGATATAACATACCCAAGGTTGGATACCTACACGAGGTTAAACCTCGCCGCCAGGAAACAATGAAGTAAATGGAAAAGAGAAGAAAGCAGGATAGATTTGAAGAAGAAAAAAGACGAAGATGTAGGGAGAGAGAGGTAGGAAAAGGCGACTGCCGATTTCCCCAGGGTGGGTCAGCCCAGGAGTGCCGTCAACATGAAGCCAGGAACAAATGGGCGTGTTGCCTCTGCCGGGTAGCCTTAAAGGTCCAATCACCAATCACCCAGCGTCGGCTCAACCCCATGGATTCCCTTTTCCCCGGACATGGCTAAGCCACGCAGGGCTAGGCGTGGGAGGAGGTCGAAACCCCCCTGTTGGCTCGGGTCCATGGGTCCATGGTGTCGCTACACACCAAATGCTTGCTTGCGCAGACGCCCCTGCGGGGCCTTGTACAATCACAAATGGCCACCTGTCGAGTCGGTTCAAGCGATCACTCAGTTCAGCGTTGTGTTCATTATATTGTGGACATTCTGTAAGGATATTTTCCTCTGACACTTCGAAAGGATCACAGTGGTTACAGTGCGGGAACATTGTTTTTTTTATGCGGCTAAAGTGAGGTGTGTATGCAACACCTAATTGTAGACGGTGCAGTAGTATGTCAAATGATCCATCGATCTTTTGATTAGGTGCAAATCTAAGAGATGGATATTTTTGATATAAGAGTGAGGACTTTGCGTTTTCGTCAAACCAAGCGTCCTTGCACAATTTGTGGCGCAGTTAAAAAAAACCTTCTTGCTTTCTGAGGCAAAGATCAAAGTGTAATAACTATGTAAATAGTAACTTTTAGCTAAAAAGCGTTTTGGGCACATTTTTGAGAGTTATATAGCTTTACAGTTATACCGTTTTCACTATTTACTAACCGTATATAACCCTTTCATTGCCCGATTTAATGTATGCATCCTGTTTACTGATAATTGTTCTGTTTTTATAACCCATTTATGATGTTTTGTATATGTATTATTAACAAAAAAGTCTGTCTTTATCAGCTTATTATCTGCGTAGAATGCACAGCTTTCTCAACAAGATGATCTGGTCTGAAACCTGCAAACCAGATTAACAGTGCATTGGCATCGAGATGGGTGTACACAACATAAATACGTGACTGCTGTGAAATGTATTTCAATGAATGTTCGTGCGAGAATCATGCTATAAGTAGCATTACACTACATGTCTAGAATGAAGATGCAGCCATTATTCAGACTCCTAATTATAGGTATGCGGTCGAAGGAGGGAGACTTAGTGCCCCCTCTCCCATACAGGCGACGTGACTGGTTTGTAGAAGGAAATAAAGCTAGGTAGATAGGCGGTTACCGTCGTGCATTATTTGATAGTCAGATTTGTAATAAGTTATTGATGTTCTTTTGTCATTTTATTCACTTCTATCTGACGTAGAATGGCAAACTATTTAATAATTAATCGCTATGTAGCTGATGCAGATTCTCTCAAAGAATTTTTTTATTATTTCACAACTCTGTTCATGAAACACTGGGACATTTCTATTTCTCGCGCGTGTGCTCAGTATGTTCATTCTGCATTTTTGAAGTTACTTATTCATCAAGGTTCCCAATTGACCAATAAACAAACAAGGGACAAATAGTTCTCGTTCACAAAGCAAGTTAATAAACGGCACAAGTGGCAGATAGGTGAGATGGCTCAGGATGTCTGTGAAGGAAAGCAGAAAAAAAGGAAGCTATGCATGGACGATTGCAGGGCTGAGATGTGCTACTTCATAATTAATTAGCACAGTATTCTTGAGACCGCGAACTGACACTCCTTTCACGTATATGCCCGGATCAGTTTTCTTACACGAAAAACTGGTCGAGAATATTGTTTGTTTGTCAGACACAACCTAACGTAGCCAACAGATATTTACACCCAGAAAGATAATATTTGTAGTTTTTAACTGCAGCACAGGGGTAATAGCATCGAAACAAATTGAAGTCGACCAAAGTGCAACTTGCCGTCAATGGGAACCGTATACCTACACTTCTACTTCAGATAGCGCGTCCGATGTTCTATGAATCGAGCGACGACTGCAGCCATTCTTCAATACACTTCATTATGTCTGCAAATGTGGTTTCGGGAGCATCAGCCAGCGCCACTAGCCATTGCGGCGAGAGTGTAACAGGCTAATTCTCCAGGTGGCGTTAGAAGCAATAAACATTTTTTCAAGCTAGCAGCTTCCCCGCTTAGTATTGAACGTGAGAAAAAAAGTTCTCCCTGAAAATTCCCCGTTAGCCTTTCTCCTTCTCCATAGTCACATGATGGTAAATCAATTTGAACCAAAAAATAAAAGGATGTATATAAGATGTTCCTGTATCCAATGAGAATCATAAGTTTTAAATATTTGCTGCATACCTATCTACTGCTTTTTCCCAGCTCACTAGTGCCTCATTTATCTCATTAAGTCCAGAAAAAAAAACACGGAAATGACATTATACGTGCGGGAGTAACTCACTGCATGAGAACTTTTTTCAGAATGCCATGCTTGCAGACTATCTCATATATTCGCAGCCTGGCGCAAAGAACTGCATTCAAATAGACCACTGCGTACAATATGCATAATTTCAGGCATCATGCCAATTTAGCGAATGCATAAAATTTAGTTTACTGGTTGATCCAATGTACCGGTAGATTACAGCATAAACTTACCAGTGACATGTAAGGACACAAATATATCGAAAGCGTCTCAGTGGTCATCACAGTGCATTACTTTTTATTTATATGGTTGTGTACAATTGAAGTAAGAACAACTGAATAAGGCAGAACTGAAATGTCACCGTTTTATTTTTTTCGTCGGTGCTCGCAAAAAGAGCAAGATTTCGGTTTGTACGCTTAAAATGAGCGTTAGTTGTCTTTGGCAGCCACATGATTAGCGATACCTAACAGTTCTGTCATGCCACCACTCGCAAGACCTACTATATTTCATACTTTCTTGTTCCTGTTTTATTAGAGCATGCTCGTCCCGCCGCGGTAGTCTAGTGCTTATGATGCTTGGCTGCTAACCCGAAGGTCGCAGCATCGAATCCGGGGGTCGGCGGCTGAATTTTGGATGGATGCAGAAATGTTTGAGGCCAATGTAACTAGGGGCCCTTTAAAGAACCCCAAACGGTCTAAACTTCCCCCAGCCCTTCACTACGACGTCTCGCATAAATATATGATAGTTTTGGGACATTAAAACCCAAATATTTAAAAAAATATATACTACATGATTCCACGTAAAAAGACAATAGACATCACCACCAGCACTTTTCAAATAGTAATTAGGCATTACTAAACAGAACAATCACCGTCCATTGTTTTCCAACTAGTGTTGTTGTACAAATAAGATCATCCATGATACGTAATAGCGAAAACGCTTCTCCACAGTAACCTACGTTTGGCAGTAACCTATGCTATGCCGCTCCACAGTTTTTGCACTTTATCAGCATTACTACTGCCAAAACCAGAGTCGACAACAATGCGCAGCTATACCAGTGATATAAGAAGTGACCTTTCTGCTCAAATCACGTGACTCTCTGGCATGTAATGATGACCAGAAGTTGCGCTGCTGCACGTGTAAAACTGAGTCATAATTCACACCCTCTCGAAGAATATTTGATAGGACTCGTATATGACAGCACATTACACAGACTATTTATTGCCTACTGTTTGCTTGCATCCAGAAACAAAATAGGCCGAGTGCGCTTCACAGTGCGACTCATAATGTGTATTGAATCATGAAGTTTGACTAGCTAGTTCCTCTGTACTGTAGCGTGTAGTACATGTATAATACCCTATTGCTTCCAACAGTAAAGAAACCAAAAATAGCTGCAACTATTGTCCACAAGTCTATATAAACTACTCCCTGCGATGTTTTAAAAATCCTGCATGCAGCGAATGATTAATGAGAACGTCCTAGGGAAGGCTACGCAGTATACCACAGCAAAAAGGAAATTGTAGTGAAGACACACCTCCGAGAAGCGAGAACAATAAATTAGCTGTTGTATGGCGAGAGACTTTGTTGGACTTCAATCCACTTTTTTCTCGTCATTCACTGCTCATGAGCGGCCGAAAGATGTTATATTCATAAAAAACTTCAGACCATAAGCATAATACAGAAATTAATAAAAATTCAATAAAATAATTCTTTTATCTCATCCCTATCACTTCCACATTTCAGCAAAGCGGAGAGACAATGAACATACTATTAACTAAATAATGGCATGTAGTACTTACCTGTCCTTGCAGGACCATTTCTGTGGAACCGATATCGTGGCATGTTCCTGTGGTATCTCTCAAAAACTGACCTGGAGAACCAAGTGAAACGCGACACTCGTATGCAAAATGCGACTTTCAAAGCAGTATACAAAAATGGCATAGCCAATATATAAACCGAGTTGACCCACAGAGGTTGTATATTCAAGCATTTAGCAGGAATACGTAAACTGAGTCAGAGAAGATTTATCATTGGTTTATGCCAGATGACAATTCCTTAAGCGACAAATATAAAATTAGGAATAAAGTTCCACCTAATTAGTAATTAAAAGTGCATGCATGCAAACAATATGAAACTGTATTTTATGAAAAGCTATGTATACTATTCTTGCACTGTGTGTATCCTGCTTTGAGAAATATATTTTACATGGTCAAAGGAGACTCTGTTTGAAGCGTATTAAAGGTACTCGAAATATTTTGATATTTCAAAAATCGCAAATTATTCCTCAGTCTGCTTATATTTATTCCTGTCATGTGGGGCACAAGAAACCTGCTGTTCAAAAAAATAAATAAAAACAGTAAGGGTATTTTACTTGTGCCTTTCTTATTCTCATGTCTTGATTGCTTTTTCAAGAAATTGTCAGCTTCGAGGAAAAACGTCGTGAAGCCCAGCGCCGGGAGAGTGGCCTTGAACACGACTTCTTGGTTGGCGTTGCTGAATCTTTCCGGAAGATTGATCACTCCGGTCGGTATAGGCGTTATCTGTAGACAAAGGGGTTGAAAATAACAAGTCGCTTAGAAAACGCTTTCAGAAACTGTCCCGAGTATCGTAGCAGCAAGAACCTTCCAAGCAATGAATATTCTCTGTTTTTAAACGTTACAGAAACCCGGAAACGGAAAAAAGTTCATTTATTCTGTCCATGACAAACAGCGCGCTCCCGTTTCAGGGACAACGGCACTTTTCTCATGATTTTTTTCTGAATTTTCGGCACCCATGATCATGAAGCTAACTCGAATAGACCATACGTGAACAATAACAACCCAATTGGTCTCGCTTTCTTCTTTAATATTACACTGGCTTTATTGATGCAACGGTGAACAAGCGGTGGTGTCATTCGTTACACGAGTGGTTGTAGATAATACTGAAGTGGGAGAGCCAATTCACTTACAAGATGACTGTAGTTCAATAAAGGCACAAAAGTTAAACACACAAAGGTACCTGCATAATGAGGTTACAAGTAGTAGAAGCAGTATCTTTAGTCAATTTGATGCCCCGCCGCGCTGGTCTAGAGGCTAAGGTACTCGGCTGCTGACCCCAAAGTTGCGGGATTGAATCCCGGCCGCGGCGGCTGCATTTCCTAAGGAGGCGAAAATGTTGTAGGCCCGTGTACTCAAATGTGGGTGCACGTTAAAGAACCCAAGTTAATCGAAATTTCCGGAGCCCTCCACTATGGCGTCTCTCATAATCATATGGTGCTCTTGGGACGTTAAACTCCACACATCAATCAATATCTATCATATCAATTATTCGATTTGTTTGAATACAACAAAAAGCAACATAAAGGCATTTCAAACCCCTTGTCAAGGGCCTCTGCACCTGAAGTTCACCATAGATACCTATTTCTTGCACATACATGTAAACCAAAAAAGCTTTGATGTATCGTGTAACCACATGAGCGCTTACAAAGGGATACTGCAATAAAAAAACCCAAATGCATGCTAAATTTCAAGAATTTAAAGTTGAAAAATGTACATATCTATTATTATGGTTGACCAAAGGGTGACAAAAAGATTAAGTTATGATCATCCAGTAACACGATATTCCCGAAGCTTTTGCTTATACTTCATATTGTAAGATATTTAGCGCAACCGCGACTTTCGCAAACACTCACACACTCACTCACACAACCACCCGAGTAACACACACAGCTTACAGCGCTCACTACCAACGGTTTATTGCACCGAAAAGACCTTTTTGTATACGTACAACAGAGTGCGCAAAGCCAACAAAGAACAAAGCTGCGCATGTGAAAAGCCTTTAACAATAGCGCAACCGCAACGGCGTCAGGCAATCGCGATGAATATACCACCACCACACAAAAAAGAAACAAGTAAGAAAAAATACGAAAAGCAGAAAACACCAGCTAAAATAAATCCTTGCATCGAGAAAAGATATTTCTTGTTCATGTATCACCAAAGAGGGCTCACTAACAAAAATGTCCTTATTTTTGTCTATAAAATATGCTTCCAACAGCAAACATGCAGATAAATTGAAGCTTCTTCCGAGAGCCCGCATGTCTGTGAATCGTGGTTCACAACCACATGCGGTGGTATGTGCCACAAGATGTGTGTACTTATCCTCGTTTCTCTTAATTTTTAGCGCATGCTCCCTAAGCCGGTCATTTCGGCATCTGTCGGTTATGCCGATGTACACGTTTCCACAGGATGAAGGAATCGAGTGTACAACTCCCATGGGACACTTGACGAAGGCTTTCCATGTTTTTCCCGCAACCGCGTCTCTTTTCATTGCAAATGTGCGGACACAACTTGGCTAGCTGATCTGGCACCGTAAAGACCACAGCGACACCAAGCCTAGCAGCGACCCTCCTAAAGTTATGGGAGAGCTTGTGCAAGTACGACAGCACTTGTGGCTTGGAACCCAATGGATCCCGAGTAGCTTCATCCTTTTGTGTTCCACGTTTCATCTTCTGCAGTAGTGACTCGGCGACCGTGTTTATGACCGACGAAGGAAAGCCCGCCGCCGTCAATCGGCTGATCTGATCATAAAAACTAGTACGCACGTGCTGTGGACACGACTTAGTTAACGAAGATTCTAGGCAAAGTGAAGCAATTCCTCTTTTAACTATTTTAGTGTACGCAGACGCATACGGCAACAGCCCCTTTTTCACACGAGAATGGTAATACCAACAAAAGTGCTCACTGTCCCATGGTAGCTTGAGGTCTAAAAACTCTAGACAAGTCTCTGTGGGTACCTCGGTAGTGATGCTAAGTCCACGTCATTGCTTCACTTTGCCTAGAATCTTCGTTAACTAAGTCGTGTCCACAGCACATGCGTACTAGTTTTTATGATCAGATCAGCCGATTGACGGCGGCGGGCTTTCCTTCATCGGTCATAAACACGGTTGCCGAGTCACTACTGCAGAAGATGAAACGTGGAACACAAAGGGATGAAGCTGCTCGGAATCCATTGTGTTCCAAGCCACAAGTGCTGCCGTACTTGCACAAGCTCTCCCATAACTTTAAGAGGGTCGCTGCTAGGCATGGTGTCGCTGCGGTCTTTACGGCGCCAGATGAGCTAGCCAAGTTGTGTCCGCGCATTTGCAATGAAAAGAGACGCGGTTGCGGGAAAAACATGGAAAGCCTTCGTCAAGTGTTCCATGGGAGTTGTACACTCGATTCCTTCATCCCGTGGAAACGTGTACATCGGCACAATCGACAGATGCCTAAATGACCGGCTTAGGGAGCATGCGCTAAAAATTAAGAGAAACGAGGATAAGTACGCACATCTTGTGGCACATACCACCGCATGTGGTTGTGAACCACGATTCACAGACATGCAGGCTCTCGGAAGAAGCTTCAATTTATCTGCACGTTTGCTGTTGGAAGCATATTTTATAGACAAAAATAAAGGACATTTGTGTTAGCGAGCCGTCTTTGGTGATACATAAACAGGAAATATCTTTTCTCGTTTCAAGGATTTAGGGCTTCTAGCTAGTGTTTTCTGCTTTTTGTATTTTTTCTTACTTGTTTCTTTTTTGTGTTGTGGTGGCATATTCATAGCGATTGCCTGACGCGGTTGCGATTGCCCTATTGTTAAAGGCTTTTCACATGCGCAGCTTTGTTCTTTGTTGGCTTTGCGCACTCTGTTGTACGTATACATAAGAAGGTCTTTTTGGTGCAATAAACAGTTGGTAGTGAGCGCTGTATGCTGTGTGTGTTACTCGGGTGGTTGTGTGAGTGAATGTGTGAATGTTTGCGAAAGTCGCGGTTGTGCTAAATATCTTACAATATGACGAATAACCAACTAGCCCAAAACAAGTTTTATTTTGCTTATACTGTACACGCTAAAGTTAGCGGATGTCCCCAGACAGCCCCTCGTCACTGCTTGCAACGGCGTCAATTCGCAAATCCCTGTTTTGCAAAAGGTCGGTTTATCACTTGTCGACACTGCTTACAGCGACGGCAGCGATGCTGGTGGCAAAACATGATTGCACGTGGGCATCTAGCAGACGAAATATCAGCTGAACCTCATGCCACTTCTTTCTGTGGCCACGTGGTCTGCTGAGGCATGGTCTTGAAAGAAAGAGCAAAGCAACGTTGCCAGCGCTAAAAGTTGATGGGCTTGACTAGCTTGAGTAATGTTCAATATTGGTCATAATAATCTATATAACAATAGGTAATCGTATCTGTGTTCTATTTTATGTAGTGAATCACTACAAGGTGGTCAATAGCTACAGGTGGATGCAAACATATTGTCACTTTGATGCCGGTACTCCTCTATTGGCACTGTATAACCAAAAAGTTAACTTTAAGAATTTAAAGTACCGTGACTTTCAATGTATTCTCGCAATACTTTGAGCTCTTTGTGATGTGAAATTTAATATATTTCCCGCTATAGTTTTTTCTATAGTAGCATTTAGTTTGTCCATATTGTATAACATCTTGCTTCATTACCAAACAACAGCTACAGCTCAATTGCAGACACTTTCAACGCTCATGACACTTTTGGTCCCTGGCAAGGGAGCTCCATGGTATCTTCATGTCACTTCGTGAAACCTTAGGGAATGGAAAATGGCTGACACAGAATGAAAACATGAACGAGGCTTAAGTCACTTCACTCTGTCTCTATTACCATCGGTTCTGTAAGTTTTCGTGCTGTTACATCAACTGCAGTGAATCGACTAGCCCAGCAAGCGACCATTCTCCATGGTGTCGTCTCTCCCAGGCACCTTTCTTTGTTGAGTCTATTGAGTATGCTCCAGGTCTACTAAGATTGCACTACCACAACAAGACTTGTTCTTATTTTCTTTTTTATAGGAAATGCGCAGAGTATGACCCACAGCTTACAGCTTTGATATTACACTCTCGAATGTCCTCAGTCAATAAAGATGGTATGGTACCATCCCATGATATGATTTTATGTGGGCTTTATAATTTTCATGTACATTTCATGTACATTCCCCATGGAGGAGATTGCCATTTCATCTCCATCACATAAGCTGGCCATGGTACGGACAAAATGCACCTTTTTTACGCACAACAAAACCATGGCACTGGCATTTTCTTTCAGTGTAGAAGACCATGATAAATCTTACCTGCGATGACACCTCGTTGTGGTTGGCATCGAGAACACGCCAAGCAGTTCCTAAAACTGGTATTCTAAGATGGGTGCGATAGGGCCTTGCCTGAGGATTGTACAAAATGATGGAAACCTGACAATACAAAAACAAGAAAAAAGAATACAAGTTAGGAATGTCTGAAAATGGGGTAGGGATTGGGGGGGGGACCATACATTTCACAAAACAGACACGGAAGGTGGCTGTGAAAGAACTGTTCGGTAACATGCAGTGGAATCAAAAGCATTTGTTTGAAATCAGGAGCCCTGTATACAATTTTATCGCAAAAGCTTTATCTTCGCGTTTACAAGCAGTTTCCTCTCACCTTCATTCTTTCACCCTATTTCTCTTTTTCTCAGTTTAGCAAATTTTCACTGAAAACTTGCGAGTGACTTCTAAAGAATCGTAAAAGTGTCCGAACAGCTTCGACACTTTTTCATGGAGGCTCGTGTGTTGTTCGAGCGAGGCTCGAACAACACACGAGCCTCCATGAACACATGCTTACAAGGTCTTTTCAACTTGTCGGCAAGGACAGCCCAAAACTATTCCAGACATTGTGTTTTTCAATGCTCATTGCCTAAAAGCAACTTTTTTTATGGTTCTGCACAATGCGAAACTAGAAATGAAGCACCCTGATAAAGACATCATTGCTAGACGATAACAACTGTCAGCTTGGGCTCGTATTATATAGAAATACTTTAAACCAGATTTATATGCTTTTAAGAGAGGTCGCATGTGTCAAACGCGATCTGGACATTGTGCGTAGTCTTATACAGGCTGTCCCAATTATCACAGAGCACGACTTAAAGAAAGAACAGCATTACGTGAAACAGACCGCTAGTACATATTGTTCCAAATATGATGTAGTACCACTACTATTGTCTTCATTACCAAATATATAATTATATAGGTATACTTGTACTCGCCTAAAACAAGCTAGTATAAGTATAAAGTACTCGCCTAAAACAAGCTCAGTTTGAGGTGGCCAGAATGAATAAAATAAATGTTAGAGAAAAAATACGGATCACGTTATCTGCCAATTACTACTGTCTGAAAAAACGCTGTCAGTCAGGCTGCAATCAGAACAGCACTCCAGCAGCGTTAATAATGAAAACAATTGGTTGTGAGATATCGATAGTGCTAGTGATGCACAATCAAGTGGAAGGAATCCCTGTAAATTGCAACACATGTTGTTAGCACCTGACCAGGGGTGGCGCCAGGATTTTTTTTTGGGGGGGGGAGGGAGAGGGGAGGGGCTCCGACGACAGTTGCGTTTTTTTCAGGGGGGCAAGGAGGCACAGAACCTATAAGTTGTACTTTGACTAAGCTTGCTCTTGAGAGGGCAAAGGAAAGGCAGGCAAGGATTTTGGGGAGGGGCTCCAGCTCCACCCGTGCCCCCATTGGCGCTGGTCTTGCGCCCAACCTGTACCTTTGCAATATGCAGAACACTGTCTCTGGCAACGGAAAGGAGGCAAAGCAGTCACTTGCAGCAAGTTTATTTGAGGGTGCTGCTTTCTTTTAAAGGAGGGAGTGCAGTCAGGTGCTATTTGTCATAGTTCGTGGACATTCTTTATTTATAGCAAATATGAGCACACAATTAGTACTCTGCTAAAAGTAGTGCAGAGGGATGTTTCAACATGTGCTCATCTGCCTATTGACGAGAGACCGGAACTTAAGACACGAAAAATGAAAGTTTTAGGCGCCCATATTAGGCCTAAGACTACCATTTAGGCATAAATAAGCGTTGAAAACTATCATCTAGGCATATATAGGCACAATTCATAATTACTTCCGTATCGTGCTCAGGACAATTATTGAACTTTTAACAAACACAGTAGGCCAATTCTGTGCCTTGGGAAAGCTAGATTTGTTTTTTTTGTGAAAAGAATTAACAAGAAGCCTAATCATTTGAACATATTTAGGTGAAAGCTGAGGTAATTTGACATTGTGGGAAAAGCTATGAAAACACTGACAAACCAGCATTATCTCAAGCTTTTCGGGCTTGAATTGTGCTTGCTTTCAGTCAGTATTTGCTTTTACGTGAAAAAGAATGCTCAACGTCCACTGAAGTTTGTGAAGCATACATGTGGCTAAGCACTTTCAATGCTTTAATTGCATCCACAATATCTGAATCAGCACCACTCGACACTTCAGACACTTGCTTTAGCACATACGATCCCGGATTATTTCCAAGGCAGATTTCAGCTTTGTGGCAACCCTGTCAGCGACTGGTCTATCGGGGACGGGGTGAATCTTTCCTGCACGTCCGAAAAAACTGAGTATTTTTAAGCTTTGTGCTGAACGCGATAGCGATATTCTGTCCCTGGTGCGTACTTCAACCACTTAGTGCATAGTTTTTATTGTATGATATTACTCGATAAGTTCAAATTGTGGATCACTATAGAGTGTAAGCGAAAAAGTTGAAAGTGGGTTGTGTCAGTGAAGCTTTTGCATATGGCTGCATTCGGTGTAATGTGTGCATGTGACTTCACTGATGCCGATATAAGAATAACAAAATCAATTTGTGTGCCCGTGAAATGACCACAAAGTATATGTTACTCGCACATATTCAGGGGTTATTTAAATAAATCGGCAGTAGTGTAAGCAATGTTGGAAGCTTTATACCTATGCGTGCTTCAGAGTGGACGTTAAACTCGAAATATTGTTGACCTTTCCAATGTCCTCTCCCATGCTTTCCACATGGACCATTTCTAAATCGACGGAGTAGCGCCAGGCCTCAGAAACTATCCGGTTCCAGCGATGTTCGTAGAGGGAAAAAAATCGACCCTGGCGAGTTTCGTCAAATGCGCATGTAGTGGAACCTATAACTCCTCTCTTAGTGATCGAATATTTCAGTGTGCATTTTCCCTGTTAGAGGCGCTCAACGTGGCCAAAATTTTTATTTTAGAATGACATCAAAAAACATTAAAAGAGTAGTTACCACGTCGTTTTTTTGTAAAAACTGAATAAAATATTTTGTATTACTTTTACTATTAATACAAGAGCAGTGACTGTTTGAGTTGAAGTATTAATATTACCCTGACGCTAGAAAATCAGCAGCCCATTGGCATCGATTGCTTTTCTGTCAATTAATCTTGTTCAAATTGTATGTGGTATTTTTTGTCGATCGGCATTATGAAGCTCCGTTTTAATTCAGCTTTGATATATCGATGCGAGCTTGTATTGTCAAACGTTACGTGCCGCTACGGCGAAGTGAACATGTCTAAAGCCTGTGAACTATGTCAGCTGCTGTGCTTCACCGATTTCTGGATGCACAGCCCCCAGCGTGAAAATTCAACGCTAGCAAATTGATCGGAGACTGATTACGAAGATGGAATAATCATGCACAATGCGGGTGTGTTCACCTGTAAGTGAAAATGCGCTGCTTTGCATTTCAACATGGCTCTTTTCTTTTGAATGCGCTACAGTTTTTGTCATTTCATAAGGCTTTTCGACTTGTACAGCTAATGGGATGCACAGCTTGGGAATGTATGAGATTGTTTTCTTTGTTGTGGCATTCGTTGAAAATATTTTTACTGCTAAACTTTGTAACACAGATCACATCATCACAGCATAGGTTCTACTCATTTCTGCTCAAAATGAGTCTGCTGCAATATATATGCTCATAAATCTAATGCGTAGAGCCAAGAGAACCTTTAGTACATATACGCATTCGTACATTTTTGTAAGTTTACAATGAAGCACATTACATTTGCATGAACCATATTCCATCCAGTTGGGAATCTAATTATCTAACTTTGTCCTCTGAAGAACATCACTTAACGAAACTCATTAAAATGCCATCCACCAGACAAATAAATGAAAACAGCAATGTTATGCCCCGACCATCTTTCTTTTATGCAGTGTTTTCATATACATTCTTCTTAGTCATCATCACAAATCCATTCACGCTTTTACCAGAGTAACCAGAACTGTTCTTTTTCTCTTGCAACCCAACCGCAGCCTCCAAGGAACTGCTCATATCAGTGTACGCTTGAATGCCTCATCGCTATGAACCTACCTCAAGTCAGCGGAGAATCTTTCATCAATGAACGCAAGCTCAAGGAACAAAATCCTCGAAAGATATGGTTGAAGTCAATTTATTTGTTGAACGTAATTTGTTCAACTGTTTCTGTTTTACCCTGCTCATGATACTTTTTTTCTTCTCAGAAAACAGGACAAAAAGGCATTGATTTCCAAGCTACCAACATTAGTTTGCGAGAAGCTCAACAGTTACCACAGTGACAATCCCATGTGCCACAAATATACCAGGTGGACAAATGGAGCCTTATACTAAAAAGCAGTGATAGTGTACGGTATGTTCAAGCTATATGAAAGAGGGTGCACAGATTGTTGTTTCTTGCTTTACCACTTTACTTAGAGTATCACACACACCTAGGTAACAAATGGGCTGGGAGTAGGGAATATTTAGCAGCACCTTTTTTTCACATTGAGTATAAATTGCTGTGAATGAAAAGACAGCTGCAAGGCAGTGGTAGGTACAGCTACTCTAGTGTTGAAGCAAATTTACTGTGTGCATGTTCGGAGTAACACTGTGAAAGTTCTAAAAAAGAAACTGTACAAGAACTCGTCCCTATATTAACCGAGACATGTCTTGCAGAGGTAGCACTCGTGGAGCCAAACCATGATAGTGAAATAACTAGAAGAATAAGAATGGGGGAAGCACATTCGGAAAGCATTCTCAAATCATGAATGATAATTTGTCACTAACCCTCAAGAAGAAGGTATACAGCAGCTGCATCTTGCCCGTACTTACCTGCGGAGCAGAAACCTGGAGGCTTACAAAGAAGGTTCAGCTTAAATTGAAGACAACGCAGCGAGCGATGGAAAGGAAAATAATAGGTGTAACCTTAAGACACAATAAGAGTACAGAGTTAGTCAGGTAATAAATCGAGGTTAAGGATATCATAGTTCAAATCAAGAAAAAATGGACATGGGCCGGGTATGTTGTACGCAGGCAAGATAACCACTGGTCATTAAGGGTAACTGACTGGATTCACAGAGAAGAACGCACGAAGTGGAGACAGAAAGTTAGGTGGGCTTATGAGAATAAAAAGCTTGTAGGCATAACGCGG